ACACACACACACACACAACAGTGGGGTTTTATAGCCTGCTGGCACAAATTGTAAAGAAAAGTTAGGCTGAAGTAAGTTTAAGCTGGTTTACTACCAGCGGCTGAAGAACAGCTAGTGGTGCTGCGTTCACATGCCGTCGTAAACTTGGAAGCTCCAAACTAGTGGTGCGATTTATCAACGCACTCGAGTGGTTTATATATTAGCAAACAGCAAACTATACGTGTTGCTATACAATAAAAAGAGTAGTTTTTTGGGGGGGTTTGTGTTGTTTTTTTTGCAAATTGGGCCACTTAACCAAGGTGTATAGAGGCAAAACGTCCCTATGGTGCAACTCATTTGACACAAAATTGTTTAATCCCACCCAAAAGTTGACAATAGAAACTAAGACCGATACATGAAGTCCCCCCTTAATAGTATTAGCTAATATTTAGCATGGGATGACAAACAATACTTACTGATTATTAAAAAGCATACATTTTTCCAGCGGTAGTTTACAGGGTTTCCACGCATCCCGCCCCCTAAACGTCACATCAGTGCAGTTGGAGTGTCAGCAAATTTCCCATATACTCCAGTCATTATGATTGTTTGTTCATTTTCTCTCGACAGGTCTGATGTTTCCCATAGCACTGAAAGGCATCATACATTCTCTTCATTATGATGTAATTAAATGATTCCATTGAGCAGCCTGTGTTGCGCAGTTATGGCCTCACCAGTGGGTGTGTGATTATATTATTAAAGCTGTCCAGGCTGATTCATGCAGTATGTCAGACCATTTAATGGCTTTTTATAATCCTGAGGGACATTTCTGCTTTCTGAAATTTTGGAAGTAGAACAATATCTCTTACTGTAACACAATTAGTACATTGTTTATATTAGGACATTGTGGCCCCATGATACTTGACATTTACCATAAATAATCTTTGTAATTTAAAAAAAAAAAAAACCAACAAAACACTCATAATACTGTATAGTGACTATTTTTGAGATGCTAGTCTTTCACAAGGGAAGTATGCATCACTCGCCTTATGGTAAATTGGCTGGCTAATCCACAGATTGATGAATTAATTCAAAATGTAAATTAATTAAATCAATTAAAAAAATACAATTTCACAGTGGAGGATCATTAATGTCACTTGTTCTAAAGACACCAACATAATTCAGCATTCTTGAAGTTGCAATCACAGGTTAAAAGTGCAACAGATGTAATGTATACAAGTAATAAAAGTATCAATACATCAGTGTAAAATTGTTACAAGTAAAAGCCAGGCAATATTACTTAAGTAAAAAGAAAAGTAAATGTACCAATTATGTGCTCTGTCAGTGCTAAAACTGTTAAACATTGCTGATTTGTTATAAGTTGTTTATCTACTTAGTGTTTGCTAGTTTAATCAGCAATGCTCGGAAGTAGCGTAAATTATATATTCAGTACAGTAGTTGTGTAAATGTCTTTAGTTTATATCCACAGCTGTATAAAAAGGCATCTAATCTGAAGCTGACATGAAGGCCCAGTCCACGCAATGCACAATACACAATACACAATACACACAACCTATTGTTGATAGACTGAAGCTACGTAAGCAAAAGCTCCATTGGACTCCTGGACCACAACAACACTGAGCATTATCAGGTCAGAATGAAACCACTGTCTAGACTGTAGGTGTACAATTAAAAACTTTCAGGCATTCATCAAGGAGGCCCCATCAGTTATACTGGCCGGTGGGGAGTCCCAGGTATTTCTGGGTCATAATGTCACATGAGGGCTGTCAAGTTGAGTCATTGAGGTCAGTCATATGGCAGTCATGTGACACTTGCCGGGGTCACTTGAATCAAGGTGTGAAGTGTGTAAAAACTATGTGGGATGAGGTGTTGGCACTGTAGGTGAATTTATAGGTTACTGTTTACTTTCGGTGAAATTCAGAAGACTACTGGTGAAGTATCTGAATGTGGTACCCCTTCCTCAGGAGGTATTCTGAATATAGATGGCCTCAGGTGGAAACGTTTGTAAGTTTCTCACAATTTCCTGATCAGATTTTAAAAGGTTATACTATAAAAATAAATACACTTTTTTTAAAGAATTAGTTTAGCCTTAGTTTGCCATTTTCAAAACTCTCTTTAAGTAAATAAAGTCAAATATAGGTTTATTTTAAATTAAACCAGTAACATTAAGACAAAATAGCAAATACATCAGTTTAAATTGAGTCTTTAGACGGATGATTTGAAAGAAGGATGTCAGCTTTTCCAAAGTGTACAGGCAAAACAATAAGTTTGCCCTTTGGCATATTTTTAAAGAGTAAAATTACCTGTTGGAAGCCTTGGGGCTCATTCATACCCACAGTTTACGTTCCTACAGTAATCAAAAGGACTGGAAAAAGGAACAATATAACAAGTGCCACATTTCACAGAATTATGTGGTCAAAATATACAACAGTTGGTATCAAAATACAGGCATGAAAGCCTAGAGTCAATATTTACCTTGTTATTTAACTGACACTGCACTTACAGGCCTCAGTTCAGTTCAATGGTGCAAATATTTCATCTGTAAAAAACTAAATACAGATCTAAAATGTGTTGCAAAAACATTAATGAGGAATATTTAAATAAATTGTATTGAATTTCTAAACTATAAACATTTCTTTAAATATTACTAGCACCAAAATGTTGGTATGTTTTTCCTGACTAGATTTTACTATTAAATTCCACTAGAGGGCAGTGTTTAATAATACATACTGTAGGTTCATTATCTGCCTTGTAATTTTGGCCATTAGGATTATTTATAAAACTCTGGTATTTGTGGGTATTGGTTTCCTGCCACACACACACGCACGATAAAATGAGTCATGTCAAACATGTCGTTGGCAGCTTTTAATAGCTGAAAACTTTATACAAGAATAAAAGACAGTATTTGATATTTACACAGTAATACTTTCAAAAAATACTTTACATTGCGCGCGCACACACAAACACACACACGACCACATGATTATTTGCGCTTAACAAGTTACTTCTCATGAAATCAACACTACCAACCAAAGTTCATCAGTAATACCTAAAAATATAACTTGTGTCACTCATCAAAACAACAGGATGAAAATGCAAACCAAAACTGAACATTAAAAGTTTAAATGAAATATGAAAGTCTGGGAGTAGAAAAATACCATGTTTTTAATTATACTGTGGTAGAAAAGTATGCAGTGGCTCAAGTACAAAAAAACAGATTAGCAAGAATATTAAAATGTTGAACAGGAAGAGAATATAGCCAGCTATTTCTCATTTTTGATTGAGAAAACAGGAAGGAATACAAAAACACACATTGTTTTGTCTTTGAATGTCACACTACCTACACTCAATATGTATGTACCAGACAGTATGAATCCATTCTTGTAATTGTGTCTTTAGAAAATATTTTTGATTGGATGCAAGTTCCCTATTTAGGAAGACTTAAACTCTCCCAAAATATCATACCAGAGTGTTATTCCTTGAGTCCTATCTTGAGGTCTTTGAATCTTGTGAGGTTTTAATTTTTTTAATTTTTGAAGTTTTGAATAATCCTAAACAAACAGCTGCTGATGATTTAACCTTTTTTGAGGAGTTTCATTTTAAGGTAATGGTGCAGAAGCAGAAAGATCCCAAGGAATACCAGACAAAAAAAGAAAAAATGTCTTAAACTCACCCCCACTGCAGGCAACATCTGCCGGTCAATCGTTTTTAATCCTGGATTCAAAGCTCTGCTAGTTTTCACTCTGGCCATATAATTATGATTCCTTTACACCTGGGACACCAGCTGAGTGCAATCAACTGCAATTAATGAGGTGACAGCAAAGACACACAGCTTTTAAACTGACCACTAGGGGGTGCCCAGAGCCCACTAAGTGCAAGATGAATGAGAGCCAATGGATGAACTTCACAAAATCTCACATTGCTACAAATTAAGTGACTTTTTTTTCTTTCTATATTTGCTTACATCTGAGCCTGTGCCAGATATAAATGTGTGCCTTGCTCAGAAGACAATCTGTAGCTGTTTAAAAATACTGATGAATGTAGCTTGAGCATATTCAGAAATAGCACCTCTCAATCCATAACAGTTGTAATTGCAGAATCAAATAAATGTGTTAGCCAGCCCCAGATATGCTATATATTGCCTTTTTCTTTAAGATATTGGGCATTTGAACTAAAAAACACACTGGAAAACACAGGAAATGGTGTGTTTTTTTAAAGCCAAAGAAACATCTTTGCTGGAATCTAGAGAGGAATCTATGAACCATAATTGCAGCTTGAGTGACAACTGGAAATGGATAATTGAAAAGAGCTCAACTAATGTTTTTCTTCAACAGTGGCACATGCAGTTATTTTTTTTCCTTCTTAGCACTGCAGCTTGCGGATGCTGCGGGAAATCCTCTTAAACTCGCGCTGACCCTTCTGCCAGCGCTTCAGCGAGGTGATGACCAGATGGCCATCCATCCTCTGGCCCATGACCAGGTAGGCGGCGTTGATGTCGTTCATCTCCTCACAGATGCACTGCAGGCCGTCCTTCAACCACAACACCGTCTTCTTCAGGTCGCGCTCTGTCACACCGTTGAGCTTGTAAATGGTCTTGCTCTTGGTCTCCGGCACTATCTTGGTGTCACCGTTGATGTAGGAGATCTCCTTAACTTTGATCTTCAGAGCTTGATGCAAGTAGGATAAAAAATAAGGATTGGAGACTGGAAACTGTATGATCATAATGTTTGACATAATGAAAGCCATCTGAGAAGCTTTAAGGCCAATGTGTTTACATATGGTTTAGTGCTAAAATGCATGCAATAGGGGAGATAAAAGTCACAATACACACCCTTCCTTTGGACTTTCTAGTGAATAACGCACATTTAACAGTGGAATTTCTCCTCATGTTGCCTGAAATCTCCTGCTCCCTCCCTCTATGACCTCTTGGGGCCCCTGAGCTTCACCTTGGGAACTGCTGCAATAGGTGGGAGGACTTACCAAAGTCATTCTTACACAGGTTGTCAACAATTTCGTTGTCGTTTTCATCTGTTTCCTTGCAAGCATCACACACTCTGGGCACTTGAACAGAAATTAGACACGGTAAATGTTACATAATCTGTCATAATTCAACACACAATGTGTACTGTGCAAAATAAGTAGGACACACATGAATCCAGATGTGACCACAGTGGATTCTGCCTCAATAAGTGCACAGATGAGTGGATATATTGAACAGAAAATCCTGCTGTGCACACATTTATGTTTCTCTGTGTGCCACTAAGTGAATTGAAGACATGGTAAATGCTTCTAAAACACAGTTTTAAAACTCACCTTCTTTGGTGACTGGCGCAAAGTTCTCGTTGGAGGCAGGTGGTATGCACAGGTCATTGTCGAGTGGGAAACGATCGCACTCCAACATCTTAGGCCAAGGGAAGCCAAACGCGGACATCACGGGCGCGCAGCCGTGCTTGACGTTCTCGCACAGAGACCTGCACGGCTGTATGGGCTCGTCCATTTCGTCCAGACAGACGGGAGCGAAAAGGGAGCAGAGGAACTTTCTTGTGTCGGGGTGACACTGCTTCTGAATCAGCGGGATCCAAGACGAAGCTTGCTGCAGAACTTCATTCATGGTTTCGTGCCCGAGCAGGTTCGGGAGGCGCATCTCTGTGTATTCTATATCGTGGCACAGGAGGAGATTTGCAGGAATTGGCTTGCAGTTATTCTTTTTGAAGAATAATTCATGCTGGCCAAAACTGTACAATCCGTGGATAGCATCCATGCAGGGTATTGTTATCACCCACAACACTGTCACTGTCGAAATAAAGGCTTTCATTTTGTATGCCTACGCGTAAAAACCTGCAAACTATAAACGCGTAATCAGGGGTTGTTGGGCATCAGTCAGCGTGGATGGAGCCTCTGTCAGTGGCCAGCTCCTACTGTAACAAGAGGTTTTCTTCCAGGCATGTCTGGGAGGAGTCTATATATTGTGCGTAAAGACCGCGTCTCCATTCAGCACTTCGTCGTATCAGGTGAACCTTGTGGACAAATGTGTCTCCTCCGTCAAAGAAAACCCCCCAAATTCTCACTTTGTTGCTCCTCTGGGTCTGACAGGCATTTTTTGATTTCTAATTATAGCTCATAGTATTTTATCACCAGTCGTTTTTCTTAACAATTTCCCCTCTCTATTTCATACCCTGCCCTTCATGGAAATAATAACAAAACGTGTCTGACAGGTTTTCCTCATTACGCCCAAATCAACAGAAATATGTCCTGAGTGATCCCTTAAACTTGCTGTTTTTAGACCCACGCTGTAAATAGTTTGGAAATGTTGTCAGTAGGGGCATTTAGCTCAGTTCAGTGGAGCGTTAATTTTCCATCATTAAGAGTTTAGTGGTGAAATCCTCCAGGCAGGTCTGCAGGTTCATGCCACATGGTGAAATATTGATTTGCCCCTGGTGTGAGAAGCAGACCTCCACTCAGCACACCCAGGGGGGAAACCAAATCTGCCTCCTCCTGCTCTGCAGCTCTGGCTCCTATCCGCTCTCAGACCCCCTTGAGCTACAGTCTGGTCTGCAGACAGCAGTGTGGTTCTTCTCAGGCTTGACCTTCCCCTTGCTCCCTCGGAAGAAGCTGAGTGAATACTAATCTTGGATGTGATGTCTGTGGAATTTCTAGCTAAAAGGGTCAGTTCACCCAAATTACAGAAACATTTTCCCACTTCTTCCTTGTGGTTTCTAGATATTCAGATATTTGGGGTTTTTACTTACCCAGGTTTGGAGATATCTGTCACTGAGACCCCAAAGCAAGGAAATGATGAGCATTAATCTCTATCTATCTATCTATCTTAAACTCATCTAGTGTGCAAAGTACAACATGTTGATTCCTGTATTGTCACAATTCAGTCTGTCAGAACCTCCCAACTTCTCCACTCAGCAACTCCCTCAATCATTCAAAAAGGTTATGAGTCACTTGTTTTAAGTAGTAGGAAAAAGAATTTGAATTGAAAACACAGTTGTAGTTCATTTGCTCTGAATTAAACCTGCCATTAAAGTTTATGGCTCTACGTGCGCCAATTTCTTCTTTTTTTATTTTTTTTTTAGAAGAACTGAACAAAGAGGATATTTTGGCAAGAGCTCCCACTTCACATGTTTTTCTTTCCATATGAAAACAGGACAGAACCTTTAAACGACTTGGTGAACCTGGCATGTATAAATAATGTTTTATGAATAAAGTGCTGCACCCTTAAATTAGGTGTTCAATTGTTTTGCTACCGAAGATACAGTCAGTGTTTCCCAACTCTGGAACAAAGGAGTCTGAATTCAATTAGATGCCTCATACTGACTCATGAATCCAAATTACATCCATAGTAGCCTAAATATACTGATTACTGTACAGGAGAGCAAAGCTAAAGTAGTAAGTGCACTGCTGACTAGATTGTTACTTCTTTCCAGTATGAGACCAGACTTTGAATATTTTTTCTTTATATTTAAAGTGCAAGTTCACTCAAATTACGTATTTTCGCACTTATCTGTAGCCGTATCTAGCCATGCGGAAAATTTGGGTTTTAATTTATGGTTATGAGCTATATGTCTCTGAAATTTCTGCCACCACCACAGTATAAGGTTAAGTTTGAGGTGAATGGGATTTAATATGTGGGGCTCAAAGCTTTGAAAAATTACCTTCAAAAAATTCTACAGCAACAAAAAGTGTCTTTATAATCCACGGATCATGCTATGAACACTTCTCATATGGACTGTTTCTTCAGGAGAAACTGTTCAATTAAAACTGTCAAGTGGGATGTAATTTTGGTCAACTGAGCCTTTAAACCTGCAATAAGAATTTTTGGTCACTTGGGTGCAATACAAATAAGCTGTAAATACAACACTAACATATTGTTACCATCTATCATATTTACACATCCAGCACAGAGCAACATTAGCATTAATTTGGAGCTGTGTTTCCATTCACCTGAAGAATTTTCCCCGATGGACGTATCTAGCTCTTTAGCGAATAAATGCTCCATTAAGTTCACCAACTAGTTGCTAACTGTGTCTGTCTGTCATGTGGTGCTGTTCAGGTAGCGTACAGTGGGGTTTTTAGAGCTGAGAGTTTTACAGCTGCAGCTGAAAACGAAGAGAACGGCAAGAGTGAACCAAAACAGTGAAGTTGTGGGCTGGAAAACTAAAACAATGAGCTAATAGAATCTAAACAGCTCTAAAGAACTGAAGATTTATTATTCTCTGTGGGCTAATCGCTACGTGTGACACCTTTCATACAATGTACAGTCATTTGATCCTGTTATTATAAAAGTACTGGTTATAGCTGCTTTGAAAGAGTCAAAATGTCTTCCAAGCCTATCAGGATTAAGCTGGCATTCAAAGCGAGAGTTCAGCCTTGCTTTAGAATAACACGAGGGGCTGCATTGGTGGGTGGGGTGGGGGAGGGGTTGTTTCTTGTGGTACCAGCGCGACATGAAATATGATCCAGCAAGTTCAGCTTGAGTAACAGATCCATGAATTTGAAGGATTATCAGATGTGAAAACACTGCACACTTTATGACACTCTGAGATGAAGAAATTTGATCAATCGCAGCAATTACGAGGTTTTACATTCGCCACCACATTGCCTGATTTCACATTTAAAGAAAACGCCATATTTTTTTGCCTTGACCCTCTGCATGGACACCCCCGGCTGTGCCACAAGACCTGACCTCATTCAAATGGATGAGAGGGTTGCATTTTTACATAGAGCCAAAGTTGGTGTGAATGCGGCCTACGAGCATTAGAGCAGGGACCTAACTGGTTCTCCAGTCTGTGTCAAAGGTTTAACTTGCTTTTATAGGGCAACTCTCCCCCTATTATGCCCTTCCCTTCAAAGTGTGTCAATTCTATTCAGGTCTCTGTAGAAACACTTATACAGCCATTTACGGACTAGAGCCCCCTATTAACCTGCAACTGGACTCCCTTTAGTTGAGCACTTGGTCAGCTGGCTAAACTGTACCTGTGGTGTGGCAGGTCACATGCTAACCTTTCTTGAACGACTAAATGTGATCAGCTATATACAGACTCATGATGGACTGATTGTGGTCCCATAAGAGTTTGAATGTACATATATATTGAGGCATCAAATATATACAAAACATGTGGTAAAGTAGTTGAAATGACATCCTGGATACTTCAGCTCATCTTCTAAAGAAACAAAGACTATAAATGATGGAAAGGATTCAAATAGGGGATAAATGGACTGCAATAAAGATTGGATCAAACCATAGCAAGCATAAGGCTTTAGTTCTCCAAAGAGAGATAACATGCAGTCTTTATTAACAATACGCTTTCACAGACAGTTAAGGTCAGAGGCTTGGGATAGAGGTAAACTGATCCTAGGCCTGTGCGTAAAGTCACTCAGTGGGTTCTCTGCGTGAAAATGAGACACAGCTTGTTGGACCAAGTGGTCCATCTGTAGGCCAGTCTTCCCCTCCACTACCCTCAATCCTGTACTCCTGTTCTTCCTTTTTTTCATAAAATATCAAGGGCTAGACTGCTGTCAAAAACAATCACAGAACGTATTGTGCAGGTTCAAAAGAAAGCCATATCCCAGTGGAAAGGTTTAAGGAATCAGTTCATTGAATGTTCATGAAGACTCATCTCTCAGTATGAGGAGGATCAAAGCCATCAGGACTGCTATAAAGTAAACCAACCCAACACTGATTTTAGGCAGATAGGCAAACCTCCTCCATGGGATTTTAACAAAAGTACTTATCATTATCTAATTAGAACAGATTAGAGTATTGGTCTGGTTATATTCTGTATTTCTGTATTTCTATATTCTATCTTTATATTTCTATATTATATATTATTTTCTATGTTTAGATAAAGTAACTTTAACCTCAATGAGCAATATATGGGCAGTGTAGTTTATTTTGAATATGTGCATTAATCCGCAGATGAAAATAGTCCCCAACAAATTTACTAGTTTAAGTAATGTTGGCTAAAAACTACAGTGCCCAGACATTTTAGGAAACCATTAAAAAAGTTTAGTTTTTTTTAAAAACAGATTTTTAAAGATTTCTTCATCATCTTTAAAAATGTCTTCAGAGGATAAGTGAGTGGCATGGACAGGCTGAGGAAGTTTGGAGTATTGAGAAACAGACTAATACAATATTGGTCTTCTAATGGACTTTGTTGAATAAGAAAAGAGTAAAATAATCCCAGGGAAAATCTGCACAGTTTAACCTAATTATTGTGAACTCTTGTACGTGATTGTATTGAATCACTGCCACTTTTGAGTGAACGGCAGACACTGTCACACCTCTACAAAAATAGTATTATCTGGCGTTAGATTGTCTGATAAAATAAGGATTATCTTGTAGCCCACAATAAAAAAAAAATCCACAAGTTTTCAATGTTACCAACAACTAGCCTTTATACCTATCTTCCACGGCCCCTTAACTGCCAACTGAGAATCAACTATACAGCTCTGAACATTGTCCTGAAGTGCACTAATGAGCTTGTTAACTTCAATCACGCCTTCTGCATTGACATTTGGGAAACAATTCATCCCAACCAAGAGGAATTAATCTCATTAGAGCTCCAGAGTCATATAGATTGTGCCTGCTTGGCGTAATTGATGTTCCTATTGTACAGGTCTAATTGACTCCCTATGGGGTTTCAGAGCAGCTGTGGGACACGTAGACAACTCTACCAGACTTTGGGATAACCAGATGCATATTAGAGATGTGTGCACTGTACATAGCGGTAGTGGACCAATGTGTAGAGAGGGAACAAGGTTGTTTGTATTTTCTGTTACTGAAGCATTAAAAATGTAATTAATAAATGTCAGAAATATTTCATGTTAATTGATCAGTCTTTTATGAATTTAAAGGAATAATCTGACATTAGCTTAGCTTAGCATTAAGACTAGAAACAGCTAACCTGGCTGTCCAAAGGTAACAGAATCCACCTGCCAGCTCATCTAAAACTCAATAATTAATTAACCAATATGTGATATGTTTGTCTAATCCATAATGCCGGACTAATTTGTGGTGGGGAGCAGTGGCGTCCTGACTTCAGGAAGTTGTGTTTGTCGTTTTCACACTTTGGTTTTTTTTGTGAATTAAACGAGATGTAACAGGTTAATTAATGA